CAGGGGTCCCAGACGCCCGCATCCCACATTGATTTCTTTTCCCCCTTCCAGCTGTTGAGTGTTTAGTAGGTTGCCCGCCCTTTCATTGCTTTCGAGTGGCCGATTTTCCGGTGTTTTGCCTCGAAACTTATCCGTGTTAAAGTATTGGATATTAAAGCTAAGAAAATAAACTTGTTGCTAAAATACGCCAATAAAAAATTGCCTCAGTTAGCTATCTCTTAGATGGATTATCGGTAAATAAGACTTTGATTTGTTCACGTTTAAGTTATCTCAAATCTCTATCAGCTGACAATTATTTCCAAAGAAAAATTCGGCTTAAATCCGAACAGCTCCTCGGCCCCTTTTCTCTCTGTTCGTTCAACTTGCGGAACTATTAAAAGTTTGAATAGAACTTTTGGTGGCAATATGCCACTCTTTGCGTCAGTCGATTGTTTGCGGCCTGCGGTAACGGCCCCCAAATGCCCAGAGGGCTTTTTGAAAGGCTAAAAATGTCATAGATTCGAGTGGTTATCATGGGAATTCGGATATTTGCATTCGATTGCTAACCGCAGTGTAAATAATGTGAAAATCTATTTCAAATGTCATTGGATTGTCCAGAAGGGAGTTTGATTAACTTTCAGCAACATCGCCGGGTGGGCAGCATGTTGCCAGACCCGAAAACAAGTTTCAAGCCCAAACGCTGCTCATATGATAATGCTGCAGTCCGTAGGAACGAAGCGGCTGACATTGCAAAGGTTGATTGGGTGAGGGGAAATAATATGCATATTTATGCTCAACAGCTCATCTAATGAACTGCACATTGTTTGTGCTATTTTGCATATGGATAGCAGAGCAGAGAAGTCGCTGCTGCCACCAAAAACATGCATACATGCATGTGTATGTATACAATGTACGTACATGTGTATATACATATCTCTGGCTATGCTTGGGCATGCGTTTGTTTGCTCGTTAAATGCAGAATAAAGCTACACTTAATAATTGAATAACACTCGGGTTCGGGTTCGGGTCGGGTCGGGTTCGGGCTTAGCTCCACTCAACTCCCCCCTGCGGTGCAGTGCGATAAGCAGACTCTCAATACAGCTGTGATTCTCTTTCGTACTATCTCCGACTCATCTATTATTGCATTATTGTTTACAGCCAGAAATTGAAATATTTCTAAAATTACATTCGTTTGTCAAGCTCCTATTAAAGTGCGATAAATTGTGCACAAACATGTGTACTAACATGTTTATACATGTGCATACATACATATGTATGTAAATAGTTATTAATGACTGGAAATAATACCTACACGGCTTCCATTCTAGCGTAGTTAATTAAACTTTGATCAGGAAATAATCACCAAGTAATCTTTTTTATTTTGTGGGCAATAAATGATTAATTTAATGAGTGGACTGCACAGCTACATTCATATGTACACACATACATACACATGTACATACATACATACGATTGCGGGGGGTTGCGCTTCACTGAGTAAATAAACAAGTTGGATAATATGCGAGTTTAAGAAGAGAATTATAAACTTTTAATGGGACCTTTCAATCAAATTAAATTAGCATAATATTTTAGTTGTAAGCTATTCAGAATAAATACTTAATAAACAATTTATAGGAATTGAAAATCGAACAGAGACTATCAGCTGCGAACTTTGATTTCTTTCGAGTGAATTTACTCACTAGTAAAACATTTGACTTTATTAATCATGTTTCTAATCAGCTGGGAATGGGTTTATTAAAGATTATAATTATTAGGTCAAGTGCTGGGCACTGCCATATGGATTTAAGTATACCCTATAATAAATAATTGTACCCTAGAAATAATCAATTAAAAAATCGTATATAAGCTTATAAGCGTGTTTGTAATAAGTATAAAATATATAATTTGTTACCGTCCAGCAACAACAAATGTCTATGCATAGGTATATGTAGCTGATCGGGAGAGCTGCTTAGGGCAAAAAAAACATATTACAAAATCAATTGGCTTGGCAACATGTTGAGTTGTTTGTTTGTTTATAAATTTTGTTTATAGGTCGGGGCAAGGTAGCCAAGGTAGACTCCTCAACGACTACCAAAGAAAAAATCACATCTTCAGTTGTTGTCGAGAGGTGGCTTGACATCTCGTGCGTAAGCGAAGTCAAAGTCAAGATCGTCGAATCCGAAGCTGGACTCTTCGGCGCGGCTTATCAGCAAGTGACGAAGGCAGCCCAGGCAGGGGTTATCGCTGAGCCTGACCAATATTTTACTGTTTTGGTGATTCAATTCAATTGAAAAAAGTATTGTACATACATCAGCAAGTACAAGTACAATCGTGTGTGTAAGTGTCGAATTTCTCTCTCTCCCGCAGAAAGTTTCTTTGTCGCTTGCAAATTGAAACTGCCGCCAGTCGACACTTGTGACTCGAACCGAGCGCAGCTGACACATCCCACAACGAGAGGGAGTACGGAATACAGTTACAACTATGTCATTATCATCGTCAGCGAATTTGCTCATCAGCGCCCTATGCCTGTGCCTGCTGCAGCGGGAGATCAGCGCTGGCTTGTCCATGGTGCTGGGCAATGTCACCCTCTTCAATGTCCAATTCAAGTCCCCCAGCTGGCTGGGACGCTCAATAGTCGGGGACAGCAACTTGCGCATAGAGAGCGACGTGGATCCAAATATATTGGAAGATTCGCACTTGGACACGGTAAGCAAACTGAACCACAAACTGAAGTGAAACTAAGCTAAAACATTTTTGAACATCTCGTTATGCGCATCTGATTTGTTTGATCAAATCATCAACCGAAAGTATTTATTAATAATTGCCATTATGACGCCATAGATGTGGGAATTTGTTAAATGTTCAAGTCTAAAGTACAGCGACAGCCTTAAAAAATATACTCAAATATTTGAATATATTTTAATTTATTTTTATATATTGATTTTTATGGCCTAGTCGAAAGGTGAGGTTCAAGTTCAAGATTAATCTGTCAGAGTCATTCTGCGATAATTTATATTCACAGACACTTGGCAATCGATTCCTATTAATCACAAATGAATATTCACTAATTCTCAGCTCCAACTTACACTTATATATATTATATATATTTTCCAGCTTCATTTGATACAAAAATATGGCTACCCCGCGGAGAATCATACCGTGCAGACAGACGATGGCTACATACTCACTCTGCACAGAATCGCGCGGCCTGGCGCAATGCCCGTGCTCCTGGTGCACGGCCTGCTGGATAGTTCGGCCACTTGGGTGATGATGGGACCCAACAAGGGCTTGGGTAAGCAGCAACCGCTTTGCTCCATCAAATGTGCCTGATGCTGATTGATTTGTTCTCTCCCTCCCCCCAAAGGTTACTTGCTCTATGAGCAGGGCTACGATGTTTGGATGGCCAATGTGCGGGGCAATACATACTCCAGGAAGCACGTGAAGTACAGTACGCGCCATGCCAAGTTCTGGGACTTTACGTTCCATGAAATGGGCAAGCATGACATACCCAGCACAATAGACTTTGTGCTCAACCACACGGGTGTCAGCCAATTGCATTACATTGGCCACTCCCAGGGCTCGGTTGTGTTCTGGATCATGGCCAGTGAGAAGCCCGAGTACATGGATAAGATCGTGTTTATGCAGGCTCTGGCACCGGTGGCCTTCCTCAAGCATTGCCGCAGTCCTGTCGTCAACTTCTTGGCCGAGTGGCATTTATCGGTGAGCGTAAGTTACCCCATCCCGTTCCTAATCCTCATCCTATGCACAAACCTCTTCGAAATTCTAAATTCGAAATTCGAAATTCGAAATTCGAACTCACTTTTCGACTCTCTCCCTCTGCCCTGCAGGTGGTCCTCAAGCTAATTGGCGTCCATGAGTTTCTGCCCAAGAACGAGTTCATCAGCATGTTCAATCGCTTCATTTGCGACGAGACAACCATTACCAAGGAGATCTGCTCGAATGTGATCTTTCTCACCACTGGCTTCGACAAGCTGCAACTGAACGAGACGATGCTGCCGGTGATTGTGGGCCACTCCCCGGCCGGTGCTTCCACCAAGCAAATGCAGCACTTTGGCCAGCTGAACAGATCGGGCGCCTTCAGACAGTTTGACTATGGCTGGCTGCGCAATCATTGGCGCTATGGCACCATAGATCCTCCCTCTTATAAGCTGGAGAATGTGCGTGCCAAGGTGGCGCTTTATTATGGCAAAAACGATTGGCTGGCCCCGCCCGAAGATGTGGAAATGCTGCACAGCAAGCTGCCCCATGTCGTGACAAAGTATTTGGTGGATGATCCGGAGTTCAATCACCTCGACTTCATATGGGCCATCAATGGCAGGGAGTTGCTGTGGGATCGCATGCTGCAGAATATGCGAAATCAGGAGAACTCGGTCATATGAGGGGTACAAAACCTGGCAGTGGAAGTAGAAGTAGAAATTGTAGTCTAGATAATAGCAATATAAGCAGCGCATAGTTAGGTATTTATTTGGATTAACTTTACTTTGGTTTGCTCGTGCAAATAAATATTTAAAAATACAAATAAACGAACATTTACCCATGAATTCTGATGCCTTTCTTTACTCGCTTGAAGGCTGAAGAACTGGGAAGGAGTTTCAGCAAGTAAGCGTCTCCAAAGCGTCCCTTGGGAGCTTCAGCTTCCAACAGTAGTAAATATAAAATAAATGCTGAATATCTGTTACAGATAATAAGCTTAACAATAGCTCAATTACCACACACATGCAGTGTCATAGCTGTCGGCTTATCACAATTATTTGTGACTTACAAGTTGATTGGAGATGTTGCCCGCCTCTCAACCATTTGGACCCGACCTTAGGCAACTGTTAACATGTTCCACTGGGTGGCAAATAAAACTCGTTTAGTACATTCCAAACAATCAGAATTAACAATATTATGCATATTAATTGCCCTGATTTGCTCGCGAGGGTCAATGAGGGGAGAGAGACCTAATAAGCCTCGACAACTAAAATTAGTTGGCATCATATAAGGCATCCGACTGGATGCCAGCACTCAGTGGCAGTCGATAGTGCAGCGGGAATAGTTCTGATTCGAAGTGAATGCTCAAGATGTAGCAAAGGATAAAGGATAAAGGATACTAAAGAACTGATAACTGCAGCACAATTGAATCAACTGGCAATAAATACTTCAAGTGAAACAAACATTGCAAATTCCAAGTTCGAGTGCAATTTGAAGATCAAACACAGATGTGGCATGCAACGCCAATAGAAATAGATCTTGACTCCAGCAACTGATTGGCCAATTGCTTGACAGTGCATGTGGAAAATTGCATTAGCTGAAGGTTTTCCACAGGCCAAAAAATGCTGGCCATCAGTTCGAGCTTAATGATATTTTATGTAGCTTTTTTCTGGCTTTGCTGCCGCATAGACAATGTCGCAGCGGACATCATCAAGTATGATAAAACCATTTTAGAGGATGCCAATTTGCAGGCGGTAAAGAGAAGCTTCATAGGAAGCTGCGATCCAGTAATAAGATTTCCTCTTTTAGCCAGAACTGATCCGGAAGTATGGCTACAGCGCGGAAATACACAAAATAACGACCAAGGATGGCTTTGTGCTCACCGCACATCGCATGCCCAAGCCGGGCGCACAGCCCGTGCTGATGGTCCATGGGCTGGAGGACAGCTCGGTGGGATATCTCATACTGGGACCCAAGAAGTCGCTTGCCTACAGGTTAAGTGATCTGGGCTATGACATTTGGCTGCTCAACACGCGTGGCAATCGCTACTCACGGAAGCACAAGCGCTACCAGCGGAATATGCCCGAGTTCTGGGACTTTTCCTTCCACGAGGTCGGGCTGTACGACCTGCCGGCCGCGATTGACTACGTTCTGGCCATGACCAAGGGCTACGAGCAGCTCCACTACATTGGCCACTCGCAGGGCACCACATCCTTCCTGGTGATGGGCAGTGAGCGGCCCAGCTACATGAAGAAAATCAAACTGATGCAGGCGCTGGCCCCGGTCGTATTTTGTGATTATGTGGGCTCACCCTTTGTCTTGTTTGCCGCGAAATACATTCGACCTTTGACAGTGAGTGCAGTCCTCCAGCCAACCTTTATTGCCTAACAGATTTGTAAACATTTTCCAGCTCTATGCCAGAGCTCTTGGCATCTACGATTTTCCCCCCGAGGGTGAAGTCTTCCAAAGACTCTCATATCAGATTTGTAGCTTTGCCTTTCGCAACACCTGCAACTACTTCCTTTTGCAGCTGATGGGCGTCGATGCCCAGCAACTGAATGCCACACTCGCACCGCTGTTTGTGCGACACGTCGCTGGCTCCTCGCTCAAGTCCCTGGGGCACTACCTTCAGCTGGTCCACAGCGGTGGCTTCTACAGGTACGACTACTACAGCGCTGTGGAGAATCGGCGCCGCCACGGCTCCGACACTCCACCACAGTATAATCTGTCCAATGTCAGCTGCAAGGTGGCTCTGTACTACAGCAAGAACGATCTCCTGGCCGCGGTCAGGGATGTGGAACGCCTGCGCGACGCGCTGCCCAATGTGGTGCACGACGGGCTCATACCATACGAGAAGTTCAATCACGTGGACTACATTTGGGCGAATGACATCAACAGCCTGCTCTACGATGGCATGGTGGAGAATATGAAGCGGTCCGACCAGGGAGAGTTGTAGGGTGGAGGAGGACGAAGGTTTAGGCAAAAGGGCAAATTTCCTGGCTTTATTTTGTATGGTAAATTGTATGCAAAACGTTCCCTCAAATCCCTGTGATAGACACACTTTCAATTGAGTTTCGAAATGCACTTTAAATACATTGCAAATCCATGACTTCTCTTGTGGGCATTCATTAGAAATTTGTAATTATGAATGCTTCAAATATTTGCCATAAATTCTACTTTATGGCCAGAGTCCATGAACGCCACTTGAAACATGAAATCAGATGAGATATTTAAATCGGACCAGTGCCTTGTGGCTTGCCAAAAAGAGAGCTCTGTGAAGCTGTGGCAAATTTATTGCCAGTACATTTTATTCAAGTTGCCACTGCAACTGACAGCCGCGGGCAGAGGGCAGGAGCGGTGTGTGGAGTTGCCAAAAAACTGAAAATTGCCACTGACATGCTGCACATGTTTCTGCACGTGTCTGCCCCATTTTTTGGGTGTGCCTTTGGCCAGCCACACAAGCACATGAAAGTGTCATGCCATGGATGCAAACTTAATTGTTTGCAGTCTGCATTTAAGTTGTGGCTGGCACAGCCTTTATACGCAATGAAAACCACACTAAATGAGTGCTCTGAAGCGCATGTATTGAGTGTGTCTAAACATCAGTTTTCAGCTGCCCTTCGTGGGTTGGTTCACACATCCTTTTCTTTGGCTCACAAGTTCCCAGAGTCCGGAGCTGTTTTAAGCTTAAGCCTTTGCCGCCTCTGGCATCAAAAATCATTTTACAAAGTTTTGTGTTCCATATCTCAGCGCTGTCGTGGCTTGGTTGCATGTCCTTGTGCCGCTTGTGGTTCGGGCCGCCGTCTCCTGCTGCTCGTTGCGGCGTGTCAAAGCTGCTGCTGGTGTTGTTTTTACGCCCTAGGCAGCAGGCTTGGCAGGCTTGGCAATCCCCAGGAATCAGCCAGACGCCCGGGCGTATCAATCATGTCACTTGACCAAGCGGAAATCGAATTCCCAATTCCCACACACAAAATGCAAATGGAAGAGCTTCGCTCCAGACAGCGCAGACTCGGGCTCCAAATTAAATTGCTCCTCAAGTCTGTTTTGGGGAAAATTCGTTAAAATGCTGTGGCCTCCCGGTCTGCCCATTGTTTTAATGCATTTACATGTTTGCCCTGAACTCTGATTAGGAGTGCTCCAAGAGAGGTGTCTGGTGTCTGCCCCAGGGCAGTGTCCTTGCCCACAAACAAAAGCCGAGACCAGAAAACCAATCGAAGTCATTTGAAGATTTGCATTTGAATGGGGCAAATGGGTAAAGTTTGTGTTCCTTCCTCTTTTTTTTCCCACCCCCCCCTTAGGGGGCTCAGGCTTAAGTTAGGGGCCAGGAGTCTTCACACGCCCACCGCATTGTTATGCAATTGTTTGGGGAACAAACAAAAACTACAGCCCCAGAGAGAAAAAGGTTTTGCCGTTGCCTGCTTTTGGGGTTTCAGATAATCGAATCCCATGGAGATTGGAAGATTGGAAGAGGCCAAAAGAAACGATTTTCAATGCAAAAAATTGTATTAAGCAGCCAGCTAATTGATGTGGGAAATAGTGTTAAATAAATAAACATTTTGGGCAAACAAAGCTCCGATATGCATGCCTAATCACAGCATGTGTGCGCATAATTTGTTTGGGAATTATTCAAACTTTCAATCACAACTTTGGCACACTAGCCAGCAAGTTTTTGCATGCCACCAGGAAGTACTTATTTATTTAATGGATTGGCTGCTGTAAACGGTAGAGTTATTATTGAGTTTATTTCCTGCAGAGTTCACAGTTCTGCAGGCCAACAAAATGCCACATTTTGCTGCGCAGTTTAATAATAATTTCAGTTTTTGACTAATGGTTTATTGGGCATTTCACCACAAACAAAACACATGTGCACATAATAATATTTGTGTTGGCTTTAGGGAATTAAAAGTAAATCGATTTCGATGTTTGCTTTGGCTGTTTGCTATTTTTTATGCATTTTCACTGCATACTTTCTTGTTTGAGAGAGAGCAAAAAGGAGAAGAGGACAAGACTGTTGGGCATCAATTTCGCTGCACCGCAGTCATGTTGCCGGCTAATTGAAAATAATTCTCACTAACGATGCCCAGAAAAGGAAGAAAAAACTTACGCTGCTCCTTCAACGGGGAACTTAATGAAAAATCAAACAGTGAGGACTGTCAGAAGCCAAAAGCAGAAGGGTGCCAGTGCAGCTGGAAGCCACAGAGGTCTCGAAGGTAGCCAGGAAACGCATGTCGGGCAGGAGCCGAGCAGACCAAGCGGAAGTGCTTAATACCAACACGAACAGGAGCAGGTCCAAGTCCACACGTCGTCTTACCCGCAGCATGAAAGTAAGCAGAAATGGGAGAAAGCAAAGGAGAGAGAAGGAGAAAGAGAAGGGGAAGCTTCCTTCCCTCCCGACTTCGATGGAAAACTAGCAACAAACTTAAGCAAACAAAAATTATTTTGGAACTACATAAATCAGGTCTCATGTGTGTGTGTGTGTGTGTGTGTGTGTGTGTGTGTGCCTTCCCACCTGTCCAGATGCTGCTGCTGTTGAAGGGCCAAGTAAAGCCAAGTTAGTACTTGGAAATAATTTATCGAGTGCATTTATAATTGATGCGAACAGAAGCATGTCAGCTCAGCAGCAACTCCACTCTTGGTTTTTCATTATTTGTCAGTCGGTGAAGGATACATAAATGTGCTCTCAATTACATTTCCAGGGGAATTTATATTCATTCATTCAACTACGTTTCATGGCTTATTGCTGGTTGACAAATTTGAAAAGCGTCTCAACGCAGCTTTCAAGTAACTTTAGGACCCAACTCGAAGTAGAATACAATAAGTCTACAAGCCTCAACAATTATCGAAATTTAATTAATGTTTTGGCCGCACTTTGCCATCTCTGCCACTAGTTTTGCCAGCCAACAAAAATGGCATCTGATTTCATAATTAAAAGCGCAATTTGATTTCAGGACAAGCCTCCCCAGGCCAGGCCAGACCAGACCAGCAACCCTCCCCAAGCAGCCACATTTACATGTTCCATGAGAGTATTCCCATATCATGGACACTCGTCTCATGTTCTGCAAGCCAAAACAAAACTTCTCTGGCCACCAGCCATCATTCTGTGGACAACAGAAGGAGAGAGCGAGCGACAATGCATGGGGGGTTGTGGCTCAAAATGTCTGAAATTTCATAATTGCAGCAAAGTTTTCTCCCCCGAGAAGCGAGTTTTTTTTCGGGCCGTGGCTTTGGCTCGCTCCCCCGCTCCCTGTACGGAATGTATTTAATTATACGAGCACTACGAGTACAGGATTCTTTTCCTTTCCTTTCTTTTATGTTGTTCTGAGGTTGGCCAAGAACTTGCAGCAGCTGTTGGCGGTTTGCTTCTTGTATTCGATTCGTTTAATTTGAAATCTTCTCCAGTGATCTCACGTAAAGTTTAGTCTTTGAAACCCTTCAAAAAGTTGCCCTTAAAGTTACCTTTTTACTCGAAATGTTTTATCAAATTTAAGTCCAAAACTTTGCCTCTGAGCTGAATCTTTTCCCCCCAAAATAGCCATTGAACAATTTGTCAGGCCCCATAACTTGCGCTTTATCTTCGCTTTAACTCGTTAACAAATATGTTTGTCCAAGGACCAAACCTCAGGCGCTGGACACGAACAAAAAACCGCCACGAAAATGGTAGAAAAAAAATCAAAAAAATCTAATTAAAAATTTGCCGCACAGCCCGCGTCCCAGCCTCGTCTCGTGGCTCGCAGGGACAAACAAAAAAGCAATTACAATGCCTCAAACTGTTGCAACTTCCTGCAATGACAACAGAGGCGCTAAGCGTGGTACACAATATTAGCAGGCAGAACCCAGTCTCTTCCCTGCCCCACATATACTTGCTTGTGTTCCCCTGTTGAACATTTTGGCAAAAAACCCCACCGAATGGACCCCCCGTGGAGTCTAACAGGCAGTCAGGATATCCTACTGGCTACCAGCTACACAGAGTCTCCTCTGCCAGGGGCTTGTGTCTCCCTTCGAGTGCAGCTGCGGACTCCCTTTGGGTAGCAGTTTCAGTCTCTGTCTGTCCGTGTTAAATACGCGAATGTCCTTCCTAATCTCATTTGGTGATGTTATCCTGAATGAGTGAACGGAGCAAGGACTCGCAGAAGCAACAACTGTGCGGCTGCAGCTCCCACTCCCACTCCCACTGCCACTCCCCTTTGCACTCGGCAAACTCCAGTCTGCATTTCGCTTAAACTTTATACATATTGTTCGCAAGTTAAAAAGAAAAACTTCAGAGATACCCTGCCTGCCTTCCAGAGGAATGTTGCCTGAGGTTTATGGCAAAATATTCCAAATTTTATGGTTCTTCTTCCAGCAGCTCCTGAAAGATGCTAGCTAATCGTTGCTACTTGGAAGCTAGTCCTTAATTGCAAACCCTATTATCTGAGGCCGAACTTCTTGTACACTTTTCACACACAGGGAACTCCCCGAGTCCATGCCAGTTTCGGGTTACTCAGCTTTATTATAGCAGAAACATTTTTTTTCTCCTGTTTATATTCCGCTTCGCGTGTAGGTGGATGAGTGGACGAATTGGGTGCTGGGCTGGCTTGGTTTTGCTTGTGTTTGTTAACCCGACAATGACGATGGATACCGATCCCCCAGCTTGCGCTTGTGTCCGTCGCGGCCGTTGCAGCCGCACTTGCCGCACTTGCCGCACGACAAAACGCATGAAAGAGACTTTCGGCCGGATGGGAGATGCCTTGAATGGCTCGAAGCGCAAAAGAGCGTGGAGCTGGGTAAACGTACTCCAACGTACTCACAGCAAAAGCCAGGCTAAAGCGCCCCCAGTCAAAAAATGTGCTGTTTTCAGTGGCTTTTCCTTTTTTGCTTCAGCTTTTCCCCGACCAAAAAAAAAGAAGCGAAAAGTGCAAAAAAATGTTTCGCACCCGCGGTGACCAAAGTATTTCTGCTATTTCGGATGCGTCTACCCAAAGCCAAAGGGAGTCTGTTATTATTGCGTTTTTATGCCTGCTCGCATATGGTGAATGTCCTTGGCCATGGTTACACCACATGATATACGGCACTGAAGTAGACCAGAACGAACCGGAAGGAGTGCGGATTTTGGGGCTGCTGAACGGTTTTTGGATGCGGCATAAACGTGTCGAAAGTTTTTAAATATTTTAAGCTGCAGTGAACTATGGACTCGCCCAATGAAACCCGGAAAAATTCTCATCGT